ACAGTCTTATTCTCCTGGCAGGAAACTACCACTGTAAATATTTTTATGGTTCTGTTGAGGGTTGTTATGTCCAAGTTCATTCTAGAGTAGATATCAACATGATTTGCAGGTATGTTTCTTCAAATTAAGGAGATGACTGGGTAGATCTGTCATGAATATATAAATAAATCAATATATACACTAACACATACTGATGGGTGTTGCCAGAGAATGTATGTACATCTTCAAGAAAAAACCCACTTTCAGTTAAGTGTACAGAGACCAGATTCCTAGCACCGTTCTACTGTTCCAAACCATTGCATTGAACAGCTCCAGGCTCTGCACCTGAAGAAGACATGGGTGTAGCAAACCTTCCTCTGAGGATGAGGGGCAGTGAGGAGAGAGTCAGCATATTGCAGAGCCGAGGTACAGCAATTTAAAGGTAACTTCTTCTCAGGTTCAGATGTTAATAGAGATATACCAAATGCAACCCAAACAAATAACCTCACCTGCATCTGAAACCAAATGGGAAAAGTCCTGCTGGCAGTTGATTCAAAGCATGAAACAGAAACACACTTAAGAGCAGTGACACAACTTGATTTTTAAAATAAACTCCTACTTCAAGTGTATTTTGAATAATAAAATAGATATATCAATGTACACTGTGACATTAAAGGACAGTAAAATAAAGTGTGGTAAAATTATCACTAGTCACTCAGGAACATTTTTTCAAAAGATTTTTAATTGTTACTTTTGAGCTGGACATGTAGCTCAGTGGTTCACCCCTACTGCGATCCTATCATGAGCCTTGGTTTGATCCTGAGTATACCTTTATATTTCTGTCAATAGCTTTATATTTTATAATTCATATTTTATTTTTTGCATCTTTTAGCATGTTATCCTTTTGTCGTAGGGTCTAATGAGGTAAATTTAGCTAACAAACACATAGCCCACTAATGTCAGGCTCTGCATTATTTTAATTTTTTCCAATTATAAAAATAAACAATGACAAATAGTACGGTGATAAAAAATTATCTCCAGAGCTGGGGATTTAGTTTAGTGGTTCTGCCACCTGCCTGGCAAGCACAAGGATCTGATTTCGATTCCCGGTACCAAAAAAAAAAAAAAAAAAAAAAAAAAAAAAAAAAAAAAAAAAAAAAAAAAAAAAAAAAAAAAAAAAAAAAAAAAAAAAAAAAAAAAAAAAAAAAAAAAAAAAAAAAAAAAAAAAAAAAAAAAAAAAAAAAAAAAAAAAAAAAAAAAAAAAAAAAAAAAAAAAAAAAAAAAAAAAAAAAAAAAAAAAAAAAAAAAAAAAAAAAAAAAAAAAAAAAAAAAAAAAAAAAAAAAAAAAAATTGTCTCTGGTATCAGAACAGTAGTGGAAAAAATTCCAAAAAGGATGGAGAATTATGTTGCAGAGGAAAATAATAAAAAGATACTTTCCTACCATACAGTTGTAACATTTTCTAATTAAAAGTTTAAGTAAAATGTAAAATTGAAAACTATGAGCTCACTGGTAAAGTGCTACCTAATAAGCAGTCCTGGTAAAAAGTAAACGAACACCTACATATGTCATGCATAGGGATTATATGTGCAGATTAATTTAGGAAGCAACAATAAGAAGTAGTCCTGAGCTGTATCCCCAGTTTTCATGTAGGAGTTGTCTCACTGTGGTACAATTTTGGGTAGCAACAAAATTGCTATTTTTAAAGCATTCAGTATAACAAACTACATGTGTCTATTCTTGTTCAAAACTGGACCCATAAACCCAATCACCGAGCCATCAACAAATATGTACTGATCGGGAACAGTAGAGAAACTTCTGAAGAAGTATGAAGCCTGCACAAGTTTCTTCTCTTCATAGTGTATAACAGAGATAAGGCACAATGTTAGGTACCTTTACAGAGTTAAGTACCAAAAGGAGATATGAATAAAGCAACCTGGTAGTTTGGAGAAGGGACAGATTAGTTCCAGTGCAATACCATAATCTACTGTTGGCATGGAAACCAGCAGGAACCATGACAAATATCTGGGACATAGACTATGGAATTGTCAGACACCCAGTTTGTAAGACAGACAGCTAGCATATTTGAAACCACTGGTCACTGAAGTGAGAACTGGTACTACATTAGCCATGTCATGTCCATGTGCTTTATATTTTCTTTCAAAACCATCTATATTTTCTGCTGCATGGGGATTTTTAAAATTTGTTGCTTTCTATAGGGCTCTATAGGTATAGCTTGTGAATATCAGTAATTACTGGTTTCTTCAAAAATTGTGAACTATGTGATTTGTTGCTAGAAATAAGCCTTTGTGAATCTATCTTAGGTGAACGTATGAAATCCCAATCGCTGCTTGGAGGAGCAGAAGGAGCAGATTGCTCTGTCCAGCCAGGGCAAACACCAGTAAAGACAGAAAAAGCAGAGTGTGATTGTCCAATGGCAGATCTTTCCCCATGGAGACAGGAAAAAGGACATTTTTCACTTTTCACTGACTGATTCTGAAAATTCAAGATGGGAACAGGTGCTCAATGCAAAGTGAAAGAATTATTCTCTTCTTCAAAGTCCCTTCATTGTTAAAGTGTCACGAACACCATGGCAGGACAATCTTAATGATATCTAATACATACTACAATTATAGAGGAAAAGCCGATTTTAAATTCTACTTAAAAGGAGTTATTTTTGTTTCTTTGATTATAACTATAGCTCCATAAAAATCTCTTGTTTCAATTCCAATCCTGGTGAACAGCATGGTCATTAGATTTTTCACTTACTGGGCACCATCAGTGCATTTTGAACCACAGAATTGCTCCTAATACACTGTGCCAAGTTGAAAGATGCAAAATAATTCTTCAGAAAAAAGCAAGCGGTTATACTTTTAAATTGTTTGGGAAGAAACAATATGTCCCTCCAGGTCTCCATATTATAGAGAGCCACGATTGACAGGCTGTATTACAGTGGGAGACTTGAGAAAGCTGTGTTATGAATTAAAAACAAGTGAATAACGTGTACATAAATGTTTAATAAGTCATCCAAATCAATGCTAACCCATTCCCCTTATTAGGATCTAGAGATATCCAACCATATTTTTTAAAATTAAAAAGTGATAAGCAGTGTACAGGAAAATGAATATCATAATTTATTTGATGTCATTTTAATGGATTCAAATTACTTTTTTCTTTCTACGAGTGTCGGGTCCAATTGTAGATGATAAGTCTTGGCTATTATTGTAAATATATCTTTTGTGCGCAAAATTACTTACAAAATGCTAATCAGCCTGATTTCCTGCTCAGTTCTATTAGCTTAGCCCTTGAAAGCACTGCTCCTAAGATTTAGAGACAGTTTCTGAATAGGCAAGGCCTCCCTGTGGCACCGGGAAATTAAATTTGGTTTCTTTCCTGCTTTTACAGAATGCTTATTCCATCAGGCATAATTGACTCTAATTAGGGGCTATGTGTTCTGAAAATATAAGAAGTATTTCTTTCAGGAAAGATTAAATGTTGTGCAGTTTTTATGTTTCTGTCAACTTTAAGAAGAAACTTATGACCAAAAGCCTGCCATAGAGAAATGTATTGTCTTACAGGCCAGGGTAGCTAGCTGGTCTTCCTATGTAGGTGATGTATTTCATTATCAGCCTACACTTTTCAGCTGCATGGTTAGATAATTGGCATGCCTCTTCCAAAGCTACCTAGTCTTCTATACATTACTGGTTTTAATATTGTTTTTAATTTCCCTGCCACAAAGTCACCTTTTTCTCAGGGACAGTACCAAGAGGGTACTTAACAGTAAAAGACACGCCATAGGACATGATATCTCAAGGAATCAGTGATGATTATCATGCTATGAATATCTTTTGGGCTGTATTCAGCAGTCTTAAAATATTTTACTTAAATAAGAAGACTGCTATATCTCAGATTCTTTCTAGAGCTTTATCATATCCCAGTATCACTAAATCAAATAACATAAAATGGGGCCAACTGGCTAATACCTTCCACTTTGTAAATAACTGGAAATTGATCAGGCAAGGTGCCCTCAATTTGGAAACAAATTTCTTAAAGCTATGTACTACAGTGTGTTTTTCTAGCGTGCTCAACTGTTCAAAGGATGCCAAAACACCTGAAACCAATTAACAGTAAACAAGAAAGGACTTTGCAGGATTGATTCAGAAGTCATGTGAGGTTTTAAAGCCTTCTTAGTTTTGTTCTGTCAGTCACAGAGTATGTGAATTATGCTATGGCGTGGCCCCAGTATGTCAATGACATGAGCCAGAACCTGTGGCCAGGAGGTCCTAGCAGCCATCTTGGTTGTTACATCTAAGTATGTTCACCCATGGGATAATAACATTATTAATTCTACATTATTAATTCTATGTAGAAAATCATGCTACCTATGAAATGAATCATGGACTTTGTAGTTTTACACACTGAGGAGCCTAATGCTGAACTATTGCACCGAGAAGTTATATCTGACTTTATCACACGACCCTTCAAGAATTCAATGAGGTTGTATCATTTCATCAACTTAAATTGAGAAGTCACAGCATGAAGTCACTAATTTCTCATACGTGCTCTTTCCTTCTAGAGAAAGATGTGCTATAAGGGTCACAGAAGTGTCATAATTATCTCTACTCCCTAATTGTGATGCAGTTGTCTTCACTGATAATAGGAATCCACATGAGATGTATTCAAATACAGACACTAAATAGAGCATATGCTAGAACCATCTAATAGTCAGTCATGAATGGTTCTAGTTAGTGAAATTTCTGTGACCACTATCTTATTTAATTTCCCATTTGACTCCTAACAATTTGTTTTAGAAATTTTATGTATACAACTAAATTCTAAAGCTAGTAACCAGAGTGGGCTAACTCTTGACTTTATTTACTTGTGCTGCATTTCACTCATTATTGGTACTTTTTACTTTGGTTTTCTCTTCTGGTCTTATTTGCTGGTTGAAAATAAGAATTCAGATATATTTACTAAGCCAAATGACTGCATTCTAAATTAAATAAATTTCATATTTTACAGGGCATCTTGGCTTTGTTCGGCCTATTTAAAACTGGTTGTTAAGTTCAGAGCATGTTATCGGTGGCACTGATCTCTCAAAAGGTAATCCAATGTCTAAATTTCTGGACCATTGTACTTTGAAAACATGTACTCTTATTATTCTGTAGTTAAAGAGAAACTGAATCATGCATAGAACATATCTCTGTATACTAAATTTCATAGGAAATAACTTAGAATGTGATTCAATGATTCAAAAAATTAGAACTATATATTTTACATCCAACAAAATAAAGTATAATTAAATATGAATCATACCAACTCTACTTTCTCAGATAATATAATGGGTTGCCTGAGTTGAAATGTGAGAATCATATTTCCAATATGTAAAATTTTATTAGTGAAACAGTACCAGGGTAAAAAGAAAAAGATCAAATGATGACAAGAATTGCTCCAAATAGCAATGAATTAACATCACACTATTTATAAAAGTCATTGTAGGTCTGTCCGTTAATGTTAAGAGTCTAGAAATCATACAACACAGGAAAGATTAGTTTCATTTTTAAGAAATAGTCTGATTTATCACAATCCTACCATCCATCTTTTAGAACAAGAAGAAAAGGGCCAGAAGCTATGTAATGCTTTGACATAGCCAAACTTAATATAATGATTTGCAATAGCCAAACTTATCAAGGTCAGCATAAAATGTTTTTCACCTTAAGCTTAATGCCTTGCAGATGGCTTTTATGTAGCAACACTCCAGAGTGTTGGAAGCTGCCTTATGATCTCCACTGGGAATGGCCAGGAAACTCTTTCCAGCAAAACCTGAATGTCAGCAATTCTAGGCACCCACCACCACTGCCACTGCTTTTCTAAGCTATTTCTAGTTTTGTTTTGTTTTTTTTATTCAAGTTTGGATTTTTGTGCCTTTTCCATAGCAGAATCATTGTCATTCTAGTAGGTCTTTCAATGATTCTAGACACACTCTTTGAAGTCCATATTCTTAAAATCAGATAACCATCAGAATAAAATATGTGGATGCCAACAATTGTGTATGCTTTTGCCAATTTAAAACCTCAAAACTTTGGCATAGGCATGGTTTTTATTTCATGTAAATTTAATATTTCACTCATTTTGTGAGAATGCACTGATAGTCATATCAATAACATTCCAATTAAAGTAGTTATACAGAGGTTTTATGTGTTCCCATAAATGAAAAAAAAATAAACAATGCATTATCTGTATTTTCTCATGACTAAAATTCAACTTAACTGTGACTAGAACAATATGCTGTATCACAGGCAAAATTTTTCTTGATATACTTTGTTTAGGTTAAATCATTTTACTTACAGTTTCCTTTCTATCTTTTCCCAAGTAGTCTAAATAACACCCTGTTACTTTTCCTTGTTCCTAAAAGAATCTGATAATGACTAATAATCATTGTTATATTACTCTATTAAAACAATTTTGGTACTACTATTATATCTCTATTTCCATACCCATGTATGAAAAGTGATACTGGGAATATTAATTTGGGTTACATCACTAATGAATTGACAATCTACTACTCTTATGTGTCTTAGTTGGGTAGCCATACCTACATTAGAAATAATAATACTAAAAGGAATATTGATAAGGTTGGCAAAAAGGTTTATCATTTTTATGTAATCTTTTAAAGAACCAACTCTTTGATTCATTGATTCTTTGTATTGTTTTCTTAGTATCAACTGCATTAACTTTTGCTCAGATATTTATGATTTCTTCCTTTGTGCAAGCTTTGGGCTTGACTTGTTCTTTTTCTAGACAGTTGACGTTCAACATTAAGTTGTTAATTTGAGTTCATTCTGTTTTCCTGATGTGAGAATTTACAATATAAGTTTCCCTCTTAGGACTGCTTTTATTGTGTCCCATAAGTTCCAGTATGTTGTACTGGCATTATCATTTAATTGTATATACTATGTAATTTCTTCTTTAATTTCATCTGTGACTCACTTGTTGTTTAGGAGGGTGTTACTTAATTTCCATGTGTTTATGGAGTTTTTGTGGTTTATTTTGCCATTGATCTCCAATTTAATTGCACTGTGGTCAGATAATATGCATGGGATAATTTCAATTCCTTTGCATTTACTTAAGCAAATTCTATGGGCTGGTATGTAGTCTATTTTGGAGAACATCCCATTTACAGCTAAGAAAAATGTGTATTCTAATGTGGGGAGGAACACTCCATAGAAATCCACTAAATCCATTTGTTCACAGGTTTAGTTCAGTTCTGATATTTCTTTTCAATTTTTTGTTTAGTTGACATATTTGTGACAGTGGGGTATTGAGGGCCCCCAATAAAATTGTATGAGTGCTTAAAATTTCATGAGTGATTTCATTTTTCATGTCCATTAACATTCATTTTACATAGTTAGGTGCACTGTTATTTGGTGCATGTATATTTATGATTGTTATTGCTTTCTTTTGGATTGTTCCCTTTACATGGTGCTGGCTGAAAATAAAACATAGCAAATACCCTGTAAAGACTGTATTGAGACTGATATTCTTCTTTAAAGTCATACTGTTAAAAAAAGTTCCTTCAATCATTTTCAACCACTAGGCATTGTTGTCCTGTACCTTATTTTGCCCCAATTACAGCTATGCCAAGTATCTTTTTAATGCCGGGGGTCTGCATAACTTGGCTCTCTATTTATTTGAATTCATGAATCCATCACTTTACAATCATTTATTCATTCAATGGACATTTGTCAAGTGCACTGTTACAAGAAAAATCAATAAATATTTTTACAATTCTACACATGCAAGATATACTTATGTAGCTATTTATAAAGCATGAATTCAACTTGAATTTCTCAATATAAATCTTGGCAGTTGGAAGTATTTCTCCATGTTTATGCACCTGACCATGACAGATGCTCAATAAATGCTTTTCTTATAAGAGAAATAGCTAAATTACTAAAGTAGTTAAGAGTATCATTCCCAGCTGGGATCATTAGAAAAATTCTTCAAATGGAAGTGACATTTCAACTGGATCTTGACACATGAAATCATGCTAAGGTGAGCTGTGTCTACTTCTTTCCTTCAGAGAATTTTGTTTTTATTCTGCCAAAGCAGCTCCTTCCTGTATTTCAACTTAGATCTTTACATGCCCACCTTTTCATATAATATGTAGATTGCAACTTTCCTGATTATTTCTCACATTTCACAGTCCTTTGTATCCTTACTAAATATGGATTTCTTCAGAATATAAATAAATGTTCCAGTCATGTTTTAAGAAAAATAATCTCAACTGTTTATCTGTGTTTGTTTTTCAAAGAAAATCATCATAAGGTTTATTTTATAACTTTATTAAAGATTTCATAAAGTATACATATTTGTTAAGGATTTTTAGAGATTTTTTTTTTGTTCCAGAAAGAAAATTATAATCTTATACTGTAGCTTAAAGTGGTCATCATAGCAATATGCTCTCAAAATTTTCATCCTGAAGGAAAATAGTGTCATGTCATTTACAAATGCAGTTGAATTTTTGGAAATTCTTTATTTATAATACGCATATATAGCCTAAATTTGTGCAAATTCAATTCTCAGTACTAATTCAACTAAAATATTACTATTGTTATCTAAATCAACCTATTATTAAGGATTGCATAATGTATGTTTGAGTTAAAATGTAAATATTAAAATTTGTGTAAGAATTTATGAATATATTGAATTTTTTTAAACATTTCGCCATTGCCCATGTCTTGTCATTCATTCATACATCCACTGATATGATCTTACTTGTTTGGGACTTCAAGGAATTTGGAGGTAGGAAAGAGAAGAGGGTGAATGAATTTCTACTCTATGTCAGGATAAATGCTAGATGTGGGGCACTGAGAGACTAAGAAGTCCTCGAAGTGCTTATAGCCTAATGAGGAGAACAGATAGATAAACAGACATTACACTACAGTCCATTAACCATGTTGGCAGAGTGTAAATTAATAGAGCCATTCTGGCAGGCAATTTGGCAATGTAGGAACTGTAAAAACTTGCATCTCATTTGATCCAGCAAGTCTCCCTTTAAACATCTAGCCATTTATCTCTGGGTGCTTGGTTTCTTTGCTCTGTTTTTCCTAGTCTTTTACTATGATCCTACATTACATCTGCTACAAAGCAGAGAGAGAGAGAAAGAGAGAGAGAGAGAGGGAGAGAGGAGAGAGATGTCAGCTCTGAGATGTGCATGTTGGACAGAGAAGACCAGAAAGATGAGTTAAGACTACAGTAAGATTGGAAATCTTACAAAATCCTCTGGGGAATTTACATTTTATTTAAGGAATTGGGAGAGAAAAGAAAGGATAGATTCAAGATTCTAGAAAAAAAAAAGACCCTAGTAAGTTATAAAGATAGACAGAACATTTCCTAAGTTTGTATACTTCAGAGAATGTCTATAAAGAAAAATTCCTGAGTAAATTTCTACTCCCTGTGAATCTGTCCAAGGTAATGCATCAAGTTCAAGGTGATTCACTGTAAGTGGCCAAAGAGAAATGGTTTACATGCTGATATAGCCAACTGAGTTTAGCTTAAGACAGAATGGACCTTTTAGGTCTACCATCTTTAAGGTTAAGTTCGTCCTAAACTATCCATGCTATTTATATATTGGCTGTAAGCATCCAATGTAATATAATTTAGATTTTTTTTAACCAATATGTCTTATCTAGTACATACTCAGAAAAGTTATTATTACTAAAATTCTACGCCTCCACACAAAAAATCTTTTCTTCAATATTAATTGTGACTGCCTATCACTCCAAAGAGATAACTGCTTTTCAATTTCGTTCTAGGAACCTGATGATGACTCAATAAAACTTGAAGAAAGGACAGCCCAATGGAAAAAGAGACTGGCTAAATAGGCCTTGCTTACTAGTGTATCATGTACCAGGTCTGCAAATATTTTATTTAAACCATCAGAGAGAAAATAGACTTGTATATCTGCGGTAAGGAGTTCAATAAAGACTGTTCCAGGATTCTCAATGCAATGAGTGACAAGCAAAGAGCATCAAAAGAGCAGGGGAGGATGAGGGTCCTGCTATGCCAAAATCAACAGATTGACCAATTGTTGCTCCATTGCTTTGGTTTTTGATACTAATGATCTCCTTTTCCTTTTTGAAATCTCCTTCTCCTTATATGTGGAAGACAGGAGGTGCAGTCAAAACATACGGTAAATATTTAACTAAAAACAATATTATAGTAAAAGACACATTGCCATTAATCCTCCTCGAAAATACTGCCTTGCACTTAGAATACACTGATCTCATCGTTTTCGCCACTTTCTGAAACAGTTCTGGAACTTCTCCTTCATGGGCATCTTTCCATTGCTGCATCTATGTCCTGAATTGATTCAAAACATTTATGGCAGTTTCTGTCAAATGAGAACTTGACAACATGTCTTCATCTACTTTATTCACCAGATCTGACACTACGCAACTTCTGGCTCCCAGACTCAGAATGATCATAAATGAGAAACATTTTGAATTGATTCCAGGCATGCAGACAGCTATGACAATGAAATTCAAGACACTCAGGAAAAAAAAAAAAAATCCTGAACTGCATCAGAACATAGCATGAATGATGAGTAAGAATGTTCAGTGAGAGAAGGTATATTTTGAGGAGGAAACATGACAATGTGTCTTTTAGTGTAATAATATTTTTTAAAGATCCAAATATTACCAGATTTTCTGATCCTGCCTAATATACATTATGTCTAGTCTTTCTTGCTTCTTTTTTATTACTATTCTAGCTCCTACTTTTGAAAAACTCCCTGATAAAGGTTTCTCTTGTTTTTTCTTTTTCTCCTTTGATCACTCTTCTTGTCTTCTTTTCCCTCTTCTCAAGGTATTTTGACTCATAAATGTATTCCTGCCTATCTTGGTTCACTTGTGCTGCTACTAAAACATGAAACAAATTGAGTGATTTATGAAAAAAAATATAAATTTATTTCTCATAGCTCAGGAGGCTGTGAATCCCAAGGTCAAGTCACTGGAAGGTTCGCCTGTGGTGACGGCCTGCTCACATGGTGGGATTTTAAATGCTGTGTTGTCATGTGGCAGAGAGATGATAGGGAAAAGGGGGATGAAAGCTGAGTCTTTGTGCGGGAAAAGGGAAAATGTGTCCTAACTCACTTCCTCAAGCTCTCTAATAGCTGGGCCAATCCCAGCCGTGATGGAGCAGCCTTCAATGCCTCATGGCTTCCTAATGGCCCATTAATCCTGGTGCACAGCGGATTCTGTCTCAACCTGAAATGTGGAAAGAACAAAAACACTAAAATTGTCGCACTGGTCTCTTATTCTACCTTTCCTTTTAGTCTCTGCAAACTCATATAGACACAAAATAGACATTATCGATATGTATTAGTACGATAATTGCTTTTTGTATTATTAAATACTGATTATTTATAATTGAATTTAATATATTAACATATTATAGTCAATCCATAGCTGTTTTACTTAGTGGATATATTTGTAGCATCACTGACAGAAAATTTATGCAGTATTATTTTTCCACAAATACATACCCATTTCTATACCTTTTCATACTGAGGATTTAAAATCCAGACTTCATTAGAAATGAGTTCCAATGAAGAGGAATGTATATATAGTAGTAAGGCATAAATAACCTCCATACTGGGAGCTTGTAAATTTGAGTAAAGTATCCAGGGAAGACAAATCTGTGAAAAGATGAGTTAATATTAAATGAAAGACTTTTATTTGGGAAGTTAGTATGGGAGCAAAGAGCTTGCTGATTTTGATTTAATCTCAAAAGAGAGAGGGGGAGGGAGTAATCCAAATTTCTTATGAGATAATACTTAAAGAAAGGATTCCTTTTCTTCTAAGACAGGATCGGAAATACACAGGCAGGACTAAACTGAAGGAAATGTATCTCTACCTCTGACCATCTATCAGATTCTACTAGCAATATAAAAATATTAAAAGAAATCTTTAGATAAGAAAAATGTAATAAAAATAAGCATTGACTCACTACAAACTCATTTTTAAGCAGCTAAAAGCACTTATCAAGTGTCCTCTATAAGACAGATAAGTGTCCTTCACATGGAGAAACCAGGCCATAGGACAGTGATGATGTTCCTGTCATGAAGAAGCTGACTTCAGATGTTCTGGCTATTTTCTTTAGTTTTATTATTTAGTATAAACCCTTAGGCTTGCTCCAGACAAAAATTACAGGTTTTTCTAGGTTCAGATAACAGGTTTGTGGCCATTTTTCTGCAAAATCAACTCTCCTGGAAATTAGCAATATAATTAATCTTCATTCCGGTTTTAAGCAATGCTGGAAATAATGCAAATAAGCACTTTAAAAACCTTAAGGAATAACACCCCTAGTTCTACTGTAATTGTTATTCATTCTCCCAAGGCCAGCGGGTTCTGTCTCTGGGCCCTTCAAATGGCACTTCTCTCTAATACTGTCCTCAACTGGATCCTGAGACTGGTTAGCTTCTGCCTCTGGCTCCTCAATGCTGCAGTCTAACTTGGCGTTAACGTCATTTTCATTAAATACCCAAGCTTTGTGAGGACATTGTTATTAATTCTGACATTCACCTTTCACCCGTTTTGTATGTCCTCTGAGTACGTCCTGGGGGAGAACTGGCCCTCGTTTCTGGCAGCTTATCTCTTTCTCTGTAATGTTGTCTCCGGTGGGTTCCCCAAATGCCCTCCTTGCTATCATGGAGCAGATGATTAGCTTGAACATCTCTCCCACACTGCATGAATCATTTATTGGGCACCTGCCAGGTGTCACAAACTGTGATAACCACCCTCTCTAAAGATTATCTCATCACTCATATTACAGATATTTACTAAAATACCATGTATGCCAGGCAGTGCTCTTAGAATAAAAACATAATATTGGGAAAGACAGATATTCCCTCGGGGACCTTATATACCTTACAATAGTACACAGGATAAATGATAATTAAAAGAGGTGGACCCGTGGAGACTAGAGATGACAGTTTACACACCTCTAGAATATCTGAATTGGTCCCACAATGTGCTGCATTTCAAGTGAGACAAGATAGAATTTTTTCTTAAAGCTATTTAGAAGATTGTGGGGGTTGTTATTATAGAACCTAATTTTAATAACTAAGTGAAATGTGTTGAAATTCTTACAAGTCTTCCAAATAGAAATTTAGTTGGGGGATAAATGAAGGGAATCCAGTGTTAAAAACAGAAAGGAAAGAAAATTAGGTAGTGGATCAGTGTAAATTTGCAGAGATACAAATTAGAAATTGAGGGCCAGTTTGCAAAGTATGATGCCTATCTACTTGAGGGAGGAGGTCAGCAGACTAGAAATGTCCTCTCTATCCTGATGAGCTCTGAAATACTTAGCACTGCAAAAAAACAAAAAATGATTGATTACATCGATTTACTGATTATTTCTATTTCATTCTTTCTATCTCTTTTGGGAACTTGTCTGTAGTTATCTGAAAGAAACAGAGTACCCAAATCTGCCCTTATGAACTTGTGAACATATAGGAAGGGGGGAATAAAGTACTATACTAAAATAAACACGAAGTTATGCATGTTGATTTAAGACAGCAACAATTCTAAGGGGAAAGTCGACATTCAGAACATGTGACTGTGATTTGGCCAGGTTGGAGAGTGTGGCTCTGGAGTTAACACAATACTGAGTGTTAGTGGATGCTGAGGAAGAGCTGGGATCATCCAGGAGGGAAGAACAGCAAGTGTAGAAAGAAGGCTGTGTGAGGACCAAGTCTAATGTGTCCAGGGACCTGAAAAAGCCCAGTTCAGTCTAGCTGGAGAGGGAATCCCTTAGTGAGGCTATCCCGTTAAGTGGAGCTTACTCAGAGCCGGCTTGGTAAAAAGTGTGGATGCCTTCCTGTTTGGCATGAGAAGCCCTGCCGTGCAGTGAGATAACCCCATGTGAACTTTGAAGTCTGTCTCCTGGATAATACATTGTCAGTAGCCAAAAAGGATCCAGGGAGATGAGTTTGGAGGCTACTGTAGAGTTCAAGCACCATGTGAGAGTGGTTATGAGCATCTTAGAACAGTAGAGACAGGAAGACAGGCTCATACTGAGGACGGATTTGCGAAGCAGAGTGATGGGGAATTACTGGTGGGGTGAATAAGGACACGGAGAGTAAGAGTAGATTCAAAGATGTCTCTGAGTTCTTTTGTATGAATACTTTGCAAATTTAGAGATGATGGAGATAGGAACTGGTTTGGACAAGGGGAGACCTAAGAAGGCTTGAGGACCTTATTTGTACATGAAGACTTTAAGTATTATGTTCTATTCGTTATGTTAATGACATACTGACAGACTTTTCCCATCTCAAGCTTTAAATGGGCATGATTGGCTGGTGGGGCCAAAAAAATACTCCCTGTGGAGGGCTGTCCTGTGCAGTACAGGTGGATGAGGAGCATCCTTGTCTTCTACTGAAATGCAAGTGAAAGATATTCCACAGCACCCTTTCAGTTATGATACCCAGAGATGTTTGCAGACATTGTCAAATGTCTGGTAGAGGATAGACAGACAGACAGAGGTATTAAAATGAAACAAAATGTTGTTGCCTCTAACTGCCAATATTTTAGAAACTGGCATGAGAAAGAAGTTGACAATGTTTCAAATTTCTTACAGAAAAATCCTGTGCCAAATAGCATTATAAAGGTCAGTGACTATTTTGTGTAAGTGGCTGACAGTGTGAACTGGTCAAAAATAGCTACACAGAATGTCCATTTCCCTACTTTAACTTAATGGTAAAGTGTAAATGTTTAATAAATAGCCGTATTTTTTTCCTAAACTTAGCTGTATTAGTGTTCCACATGAAGCTATAACTCTGAAACTTTTGTTGAATTTGTGCCATTCTTAATGGTTTAAAATGGACCGGAGAGTTTTGCAGATGTGATGATGCACTTTAAGATGGGCATATTATCTA